GCTCCATGGCCCTTGGATCAATTGGTTTACTCCTATGTGCCTCAGTTTCCCTCCACTACTTGTTGACTGTCTTGCTCATTTAAGTAGGAAAATGACTGAGTGCATTCACTTGGTGACTGTGTCAAGAGCAGTAACAAGAAAGGATTTTTTTTTTCCACCGGGTGTTAGTTTGTAATGTAACGCTTTACAGTGCAACACTAAATCCCCACCATGACTTTAACAACAGCCAGCACCAAATGTCAAAAGCAGAGACGGTGTGGTCGGGAAACAGAAACATAGCCTGCTCCCTTCCTCCTTCAAGACTGAAATTCTCTCTGCTTTTACCACCAGGTCTTTTGGATTTGAGTATTAAAATATCTTTTTTTTTTTTTTTCTTCACAATCTCGACAGCAATTACATCAGCCCCTCTTTATAAAGCAAAAAGTCACTCAGTCTATCTCAAGCCAGTGGGCTTGGCTTTCAAAAACCTGCTGTAAAGGGAAATTATATGTCAAGGTGAAGAAATTCTGCCACAAATCATCCGGCGACGTCATCAACCCTATTTGATTGAGTTCAACGCCATAATCGTAAATACTATTGCCTCACGACCACAATGGAGTCTGTAGCCAGGACCAAACATGTACTCTCTCACTAGGCTCCAAAACTAGTTGATTCAGCTCTGTTATGGGCTGAGCTGATTCACCAAGCACCTGACGAGTGACAAGCAACAAACTCCTGGCTCCTTGTCAGCAGTGAGTATCTGCGCGTGTAATTCATGTACCACGTCACCAGTTTTACCAGAGAGACTGGGGAGTGAGACCATGGGGTCCTGAGTGCACTCCAAGAGTTAGTTTTGCACTGCAGCCCAATAGCTTTCCCGCTCCCAACAGCTAGTGCCTGTGTAAATATTCCGCTGCCCTTCAGACTGTCTGGGATGGGCCTTTTCTGTTCTTTCTTGATCTCCAATTTAGATCTGTGGGGTGGTATTAGGACAGCTGCCCTGTTGCAACCCAAAGCTAGCTCATCGCAGTATCCACTGCGTGAATCAAAAGCACCCCATACGGTAGGTCACAGGCTACGCAGAAGAAAACAGCATTACCCCTTCTGAGCAGTGTGGGTCATCTCCAAGCCCTTCCACCTCTGCCACTGGATTGCTCTTAAATTCATCCTGTGCATCAGAAACTCATACTACAAGCAAACAAACAAAAAAATCCAAGATGCTTTCAGATCACATGAAGAAGACTTGAAGGAAAGGGGCAGACTGAGCCCAAAGGAATCCAGAAACTTGTGAGATGCACTAAGGAAACAAGGGAGCCAGAAGTACATGTAAGCACAAGCCTTCCTTCAGAGTGCTCCATGCTGGTCCAAGCATGATGGGTAGCAGCCTGTTCAGTCCATTTGCAGCCCAGGCAATCTGGAGAGTGGGAAGCCTCTGCCCACATGAGGGCAAGACACTCTCCAGGCAAAGAGAGAAAAAATCACCTGGAAGTGGGTGGATCAGCAGAGATAAGGTGAAACCCAGAGTGTGCGGGAAGGGAAAACACCTGGCATGCCCGTAATAATGATTAAAGAGGGAGGGAGCTTCTGGCGCTGGTCCATATGACAAAGTATCACCAATATTTGCTTGGCAAGGAGTCTCTTGGTGCAATCAGACCATAGGATCCTGGAAACCGTCCGTGCTAATCTGCTCAGCAGTCTCACTGAAGGACTACAAATGGGATGGTCCAAACATCCAATGCTGGAAGTACAGTTTCACATCAGTATCTCCTCAAGCCTTGCTGATTTAGCAGATACCCATGCCCAGCTGGTAGGGAACACACCCTCTCCTCATCCTCAGGGGGTCAAAGTGCTTGTCGAGGAAAGGATTGAAAGGATCATCGCAGGAGAAGATGAAAGGCCAGTGAAAATAAGTCCACTCAAGGTCATGTTATGTTATGAGCACTATTGAAGATGGCATGGGGAAGGGTGGAAGTGGATCTCAGTCCTTTCGACCTTGGGTAGTCATATACGTCTTCAGGAAGGGCTGGAGGCCTGTATGAGCAATGAGAAGCCAGGCCTGGCTTGCAGATACCAGATGGTTTATTGAAAACCCACTCAAAGAATAGTCATGAGTACAGGATGGAAAGGAAGGCAAAGGAACAGCGCTGGATTAAAGGGGAAAGTAAAAGAGAAAACCTGAGATTTCAGTGACCGAGATGAGTCAGTGATGTCAGATGTCTTCTCAAGGGAAGTGTGGGAGAAATACCTAACATTCGTTCAAAGTGCAATTTGACAAAACGGTTTCAGAAACACAGCAAATACAAACCTCTGTCCGTCAGAATGCAATTGTAAGGATATCGTTCCCCAGCACTGGCACCTTTGAGGGCCACAGACAAACAGCAAATAAAAGGATTCTGAAACTACAGGGCATTTCTCACGTTCCCAGGCAGAAAGCTGTTGCTAATAGTTTTGATTTTGCGAGACCATTGTCTTTGCAGGCTTTGGAAAGCCTTTCCGAGTATTGATAAGTGTTTTACTCTCAGGAGCAGAGCGTAATATCAGCTCCTGAGCTGAGCAGCTTCCTGTCAGATGTTACACGCCATGGGAAAGAGGCTTGTGACCAGACATGGATTTGCTACAGAAACTAAGAAAGCTGCTGCCCTTGTTTGCACTGACCAGTGTAACGTACATACGTTGCATGGTGCTATCATTGCCTTGCAGATCAGTAGTTTCCTCTTATGGTCAGGTTTTCTGCCACGCAAATATTATAGAGCAGCTTTGAAACATCATAGAGGGAGTATTTGAAATTTATCAGGAAAACCTCCATTAGATGAGGTTCCAGAGAGAAAGAGCAATCCCTATCGCCAAAGCCCTCCAAACTGGAACTGTCACTTAGTTTGAAGATGCTACTTTTCAGAAACTAATTCAATGAAAGGACATAAAGCAGCCAAAGAAAAGACACGCTCACATGGACAGATCTGGAGGTGACAACGATCCAACAGTCTTCTCCCAGTTCTGCAGAGCAAGATCTTGGCTGTGCTAGAGGAAAGACCAAGGGCTGTGCCGCTCCCCAGGCCCTTCCCTAAGTAACTGAGATGACACAAAACCTTTACATGGTCTCCTCCCTGATGGGAGTAGGTGTCAGAAATACCAGGGATGTGATGGGAGTAAGGGAAGGAGAAACACACTGGAGTGTGAAGGCCTTTCACTTTGAGCATGGGGGGCTGGAGGGGAGAAGGGATGGGAACTGTGTAGGTGAGTGCTGTGGTTATGAGGTGCATGAGACCTGTCAGAGGAGCAGAGAAGTCTAGTAGAGGAGATGAATGATGGCATCACTGCATGGCAGAAGGCAAAGACAGAGTGCCCCAGAAAATTGCCCCATTGCCCACTGCACTCTTGTGCAGCTCCCCAGCACCTGCACAAGAGATTGAGATCCCTCTTGTTCCCAGTACGCAAGATACAGAGGCCTGTGACCAGCAGGACTAGCCAAATTCTGATCCACGCTTCCCCCTATCCAGGTGGAACAGGCTTATGAGTAGCACTGAGCCTGGACTGGCTGCCTGCTCCGCTTTCTGGCTGAGCGGAGGGTATTAGACACACCTACCCTCCATTCCTCAGCCAGCTTTCCAGAAGCCTACCAGCAAATGCTGAATACTAATAGACCACCAACTGGAAACTTCCATGCCCACGAATATTTATGGCCTGTCCCATTGTCACTGCAGTTCGAGATGTCTGCTCTAGGACGGAACTCTCCACCAGCAGATATGTTAAAGAAGTAGTGGGAGGGAAGGGGGGATGCCATAAGATTGTGGAGCCACCACAGGGCTGCCATTGAGTTCGGCAAACAGGCTTGCCTGGGGCACGGGGAGACACCGCAGAGACACCAGCTGCAGCAGGCAAGGAAGGAAGCAGAGTGGATTTCAGCCTCCAAAGCAAGGACGAAATGCAGTGCACGTTGCCGGAGATTTCAGCAGCCACCTCTGTGCCTGGTGGTTCAGGAGATATCAGATCACTTAATGGGTACTGGTCCCTTGGGCCAGGCAAACAACAAGCCATCTCAGGTCATTTACCAGACAGGCCAGAATGCTTTCAGATTGTTCCTGACCAGGAAGTAATTAAGTGGCTTCCTATTTGTATTCTCCCGAGCTCCACTTGTCTGCAAGAGCTCGTTAGTTGCAATTTGAGCCAGACAGAGTACTTGCAATGCAGCAGCCAGCTCCATAGTAAGCCCTAAGGCCCAGTTCAGCCCTAGCTTAGCACCTGGCAATGAAGTGTGTCCTAGACCTCAGTTGGAGGCAGTATGATGCACAGGCAATTAGACACCAAACCCACAAAGCCACCAAGGTGCTTAAACCACTGCTGAAATACACTGTCACCATGGACCAGGCCCCAAATCCTCCCCTGATCTTAGCAGCCTGCAGTCTGTGCTGAGAAGCAACCTCTTTTCCTCCTCTCCCAGAGGAAGTGCACACACAGCGTTTCCCATCCCTTCCAGTCCCTCAGCATAGGGAGACATGCAGAGAGCTTGCCAGTGATGGCTGGCAGCTGCAACAGCTTTCTCAGGTAACGCACTCCTTACATTTGTGTCTTATATTCAGATAAAAGCCAGCAAGCCCTCCATTCCCAAGGTGGATATTGATGGCACATGATGGATATTGTTGGCACCTGCTCTGCCATGTATGACCCCCTCTCCACACAACTCTAAGGTGCCAAGCACTTAGCTGCTGATGGAGAGCTGTGCTGCTGGGCAGAGCCTCTCCATGTGTTCCCTGACGGTCTGGGAACAGCCACCCTCTCCTGAGCTAGCATTTGTGCAGCCAGCGCTTCTCAATGGGAGGGCAAGAGCAGCTCCCAGGGGGTATGACAGAGCACAAAGGAGAGGAGCTAGGTGCAGAGTAAAAACGAGAGGATGAGCAGACCGGGGAGAGGGTAGGACTGGAGATGGAGAAGGTATCCAGGACTGTTGGTCTGGCGCAGACCAAAACGTGGTGTCAGCTCTGAGCAGCCCACATGCACAGCGCATGCCCCATGCCCCTGCCTACCTCTGGCAGCTTGACTCGTCCTTCCTGGAAGGAGCAGGAGCTGGGATCGTGAGTGCAGACGTGGCGGTATTTGCACCAGTGGCACCGATAAGGGCTCTCTACACATGACAGGCACCTGGAGATGGAGAGAAAGAGTAGGTCATTTGGCCAGCTTGGCCTCTTCAGCGAGCAGGACAGACCTCGTGGATGACAGAGGTTCTCAGAGGGAAATGCAACCCAGCAGATATTGGACCATCATCAGCAGAAGGCCACAGTGTTTGTGCTGACCTGACACCCACAGGGTCTCAGGCTGCTTTAGGCTGGCCTTGGTAGGAGCTGGCTGTCACTGTGATCACGAGGGTCTGGTGGCCAAGGGCCTCCTGCCTGCCCGACCTCAGCTCACCGCCAGCAGCACCCACAGAGCCGCCCCTGGCCAGTCCCTGCCTGGCAAACAACAGCCCTTGTGTGACCCGGGCTGGGTGCTGGGCAACTCTCCCGCTGGAGCTGGGGCTGGGCAGAAGGGAGCCGGCAGTGGGGCTGGGCAGAAGGGAGCCGGCAGTGGGGAGAGGAGGGGTGGAAACAGCCCGAGGGGGACCCATGACTGGAGAGGAAGAAGCTTGGTGGCATTACCTTCCCCCTAATTCTGCTGGAGGAGACTGAACCTGTTAACACTAGGATGAAGGGGGACACTGGCAATGTGAGTGTCACCCCAGAGAAAATGGATGGCTATTTATATAACAATTTTTACATGTAACATTGTTAATGAGAGTTGATTTTTTTTTTAATATTAATTAGATAATTTAGGCTGCATTAGTATCGTTGTAACTAGATTACTACTAATAACTTGTGTATAACTTGTATTTTGGTTGTCCCATTAACACTTTTAATTAGATTAACAATAAGTTCTTGGCTTTATACATAAGGAGTGTCCTTTTTTTTTTTTTTTTTGCCTATAACAAGATTCTGAGTGTAACAAAAACCAGAAGATCAGGGGATGGGTGGAAACTTTTACAGCCTCATTGCCTCATGGCTGAATTGCACCCATGCCCTGGCAGCTGCAAACACGTTGTGGGAAGGTGCCCAAGGCAAAGGCTCTCCAGGTGGAGCGGTACCCATGGAGAGCAGGACAGGAGGCCTTTACACGACACATCCCATCTGGCTGCCACTCCCCACTCTTGTGACTGGCCACTCTCCCACTTTATAAAGAGGCCAGAAACAAACTGGGATGCACCAAGATCAGTAAGGGCAAAGCAGGGAATTTTTCTCCCTGTATCCTGCAGGCTTACTAGCATGAGTTGTGCCCAGAGTGATGGGGCTCCTGCGTATATCTGTTCCTCTTTTCTTTATCTCAGCAGAGTTGTAAAGACTATTGTAGTGTCTGTCTGGGAAGCAGACTGTAGACCATATATTTAGGAAGTCACCCACCCAGGGTGTAGGAAAGAACTATTCCCTCCTTTTTACAGAGTTTTGCTCTCCCATGCCCCACAGAACCAGGAGGGAAAGA